ATAGGGGGCACTACATATTTACATTTGAAAACAAATAAATATAGAAACAGATGATCAAACTAAAAATATAAAATTTCATGCAATGAATTTTTAAAGAAATAGCTAAAACCTTATTTTTATAATCGCATCCCCAAAAAAAATACTAGGAGAAACATTTTACCAGCAGGTTTCGCAAAATTCTTAAATAAAGGACTTTTTCCCAAAAATGATAGAGAATACATGCAACCTAGATACTTAGAGCGCTATCAATACGAAGAAATGAAAGCAGCCAGAAGCTCGATACGCACTACAATACAAAATCTAAGCAGAAAAGCTTGTGGGAAGCGGGATTATACCAGATGCCGAAACGGTAGCGGAGAAGACGATCCGACTGAGGCTTTCCGGCCGTCACTGACTCGCTGCTCCGATTCTCCGACTATGGTCTCTCAGACACACTGGCTCTCTCTCTCTCTCTCGTTGAGAACTTATGGAGAAAGCCTACAAATGGGAACCCCTACAAATGGATTAGAAAAGGTACTAGCTCGAAAAAAAAAAAAGAAAAATAGGGAGTACCAACGAAGTACCGCTCTAAAATTAACTATATTTACTCTCTGATCCCCAAGTAACTCCCACCCCGCGCCGCTGACCGAACACACCCACACTCTTTCAATTATACTTCCAACTCTGTATTAGGCTCGTCCTTGTAATTCCTTCCAACTCTTTCTAGTTTCTTCTAACAAGGACTAAACAATTGTATTTATATATTATGAATATAAAATAATACAGAGTATTATATATCTAAATTTATAACATACCACATCAAACATAAACAATGATGAATTGTTTTTATCTAAAATTAGAGTTTTCTTACCTATGCATTTGGTAATCATTTAATTGAGTGACTTTTTAACACTTAAATTCTCCAATATTTTCCAACTTCTTCCAACCAGTTTCTTTGAATATTCAACTCTAAAATTTCAATCTAAAAGAACAGAGCCTTAGGAGTTAGGAGAGTATATTCAATTCAGATTTTGAAAGATTTTAGTGGATTGTTTAGAATCAATAGATTATGTAAAAATCATGAATTATTTTAAGTCTACATAGAGTTTGATAGATTTTAATGTATATATTACCAGCAAGACGTTATAATATTTTTCCATATTATTTATAATCCAAACCAAACAAACATCACACATTAAAATTCATTACAGAGGAAGTACATTGTTTTGAAAAAGAAGAAGAATACTGCGAAAATACAAATTGATGAAGCACGATAGAGACGATAAAGGAGACGAGGCCTCCGTGCCCATATACAACCAACTATTCTTCAATCACAACCAATCCAAGAAAAAAAATTCTTTACATTGACATGAACATCAAAATTTCATTGCGGTGAGCAGCCATAGTGGAATCAAGTCATAAGGGATATATTATCCAAGAATCTTCCCTAATACACTACTATGAAACAAGTCAAAAAACCAATCTTTAACAGATATAAGCTTTGATCTTTGAAGCAATTAAAAATAGGGAATTAATGAGTTTTCACACTTCTAATAAAGATATGCATGGCACCCGCTTCAAGTAAAATAAGTAAAATAATAACCCCTAAGCGTTGTTTTATATTCTTTATTATGTAAATTAAACTCCTTTGAAAGTAAAATTATCCCAACATTTGCAATTGGAGAAAAAGATCCACTGCGCTGCTTAGAGGACGGTGCCAGCGTTGGACACCCGTTGCAGGGTGGAAGTTGCATCTAGCACTAAGGCAAAAGTTATATATATGGAGTTAGTTGCATCAGGGATCCAATGTAGGTCGAAAGTTATATATATGAAGCTATTATTCCGTTTAGCTTTTAACATGTACTGTAAAAAAGACTGCATTTGGAGGGTTGATGAATACTTGAAAGACTACTTATGGACTTTTGAAACTTGAAGAGTTGAATTTGGACAGGGATCCAATGTAGGTCGAAAGTTATATATATGAAGCTATTATTCCGTTTAGCTTTTAACATGTACTGTAAAAAAGACTGCATTTGGAGGGTTGATGAATACTTGAAAGACTACTTATGGACTTTTGAAACTTGAAGAGTTGAATTTGGAGGTTGTTGAATACTTGAAGGACTATTTATGAACTTTTGAAACTTGAAGAATCAATCATGCACATCTCACAAAGTTGAAGGACTAACGAATTTTAGCCTTTCAATTTATATCCAAAGTCTCAAAATCCATCAAAATCTATATTTTATAAAAAAAAATCTTTGAAAATCTATCGATTTTTGAACACCATTAGATTTCGTAGGAAATTTTAAAGAGGATTTTATGTAAATAGGACTAAAACATAATGATTTTCCCTAAATAGCACTACATATGTTTTATTTCAATATAGCATTTTTAGTCATTATCCATTAGTCATTATTCAAGTAAATATTTGTCATCAATGGTCATTTTGAACATTATTAATCTAATACTATTTGGTGCAAATATTTCAATTTTAAAATCTGAATTATTACACCCAGATTTTATTTTAGTATACCGTACACACACACATATATGAATGAGTGAGTACACTGGTTGCCAGCCCTAAATTCTGAGAAGGCCCCATCACTGTCAAAGCAGCTCGTTGATCAGCAGGGATTCCAAATTCCCGCTCAATGTCCATTGATTCTTCGCCGACGGCCCCGCCTCCTCCAGCCGCGCGCGCGGCTGATGCGACCGTAGTCTTAAAGAAGCCGATTCTGATCCGCTCAGTTTGGTCCTCTAATCTCGAGTCGGAATTCGCCTTGATCCGCCGCATCCTCGATCGGTACCCGTTTGTGTCGATGGATACGGAGTTTCCAGGCGTGGTTTTCCCCCACGACATCCGGGACTGGAAGCCCGACGAACATTACGTATATCTGAAATGGAACGTCGACGCTCTCAAGCTTATCCAGGTGGGGATCACTCTCACTGATGCTAACGGGAACCTCCCGGACCTGGGATCGTCACACTGCTTTATATGGGAGTTCAATTTCTGCGACTTTGATGTGGTGCGTGACGGTCACGCCCCAGGATCCATCGAGCTACTCCGCCAGCACGGGATTGATTTTGACAAGACTAGGGCTTTTGGTGCCGATTCAACCCGTTTTGCCGAGCTGATGATGTCTTCCGGACTGGTTTGCAATGAGGCCGTCACCTACATCACCTTCCATAGCGGATATGACTTTGGATACCTGATTAAGGCCCTAACGGGTCGAGCTCTGCCCGGGGAACTCGGGGAGTTTCTGGCATTGCTGGGGATCTACTTTGGTAACAGGGTATATGACGTGAAGCATTTGATGAAGTTCTGCAAGAGCCTTCATGGTGGGCTGGACCGATTGGCCAGCTCTCTTCAGGTTAGCAGGGTGGTTGGGAAGAGCCATCAGGCTGGCTCGGACAGTTTACTTACGTGGCACATTTTTCAGAAGATCCGGGAGCTCTTCTTTGAGGACAATGAGGCACTCACTGAGAAGTATGTTGGGGTTCTGTATGGTTTAGAGGTCCTCTAGCTGAGATAAGTATCTGTAGATGGGGTGTTTGCTTGAAGTTTCCTGTAAAACAATTTTTCTTTATATAAAAGGCTCTTCTTTTTTTTATCATTTTGCAGCTTATTCGAATTTTATGTTTCTGAATTAAAATACGTCTTAGTACTAGCAGAATCTTGGGCTAGAGCTTAAAATATTCCTAAGCTTTTTTAGTAGCAGCTACAATCTGTGGCCATAATGAAAAGTTTGGGGCTAATTTCTAAGAACATAATTTGAAGATGGATTTCACTGACCTGTAGCCTGCCTTCTGGGCAAGGGATCTCCTATTCATGAGGGATTTTATCTACTTGTATGTTTACTTCATTCTAATTTGTAGATTGATTTAAGCCATTCCTTATTCCATTTATTTTCTGAAATTAGAATTCTTCACCTAGGTTTTGCATTGCAAGATCTGAAATGGGCATATTGTTGATCTATGGTATCATTTCACTTCTTTATTGCTTCCCTTAGTTTATTAAAGACGATTCAGAACCTTTTGAATTTAGACTTTTAACAAGTTTTACATCCTATTATGAATGGAGTATGAATTAAGGAAACCAACAAAACTTGAAATCAGACTTTAAGTTTTATTAAGGAAATACCATTTTACAAATGCTAAATTCAGGCTTTAAGTTCTATGCATTAAACAAAGGCTGAATTTTGAGAGAAAAAGATATCATTCTACTGTATTTGCTCTTACTGTTCTTAAGGCATTTGAGGGGCTCTCACTTCATAGGTTATTCCTAAGACATCAACAAGGCAAATGATACAGAGTCATAAGTATGTATGACTTATCTGTTCATGCTTAAAATAATATTATTGTGAGGCAATTGGAATGTATTCAGATGATGCTGGTAAAATTAAAGAAGTAGATAGTTTGTAAATCTTGGAAGACAGAAATTGTGAGATTTGTGCTCTTCAGGTACCCACTAGGAATAGATCTTTGGTGTTGAAAGAGTTATGATTGCTAAGGTCTAAATGTCTAATGAAATAATTTTTCTCACAATTTTACTGTATCTGTTTTATTATATATGTAGTACCTATTTTGAAAGAAACATTAAACATGCTGTTCTCATAGCAAGTATTTTGTTATTGTTCACACAAAAATGGAACCAATGGTCAATCAATTTAAATAAACTGATATGCATGCTGGATGTTTAAATTTCAAAATATGTACTTGCACTTGTAGCTTGTAGCTCTATAGATTAGGACTTTGTACATTTTCATGCAACCTAAGCAAGTGTAGTTATTGTTTTTGTGATTTTGTAACTTTTCATGCAACCACAGTCAGTGCAGTTTATGTTTTTGTTTTCTAGAATTGTTTTTTCCTTCAATATGTTTCCCTCACCATCGTTGTGCTTCAGTGGTAAAGTTTCTCACACAGCCTAACCTCAGTCAGTGTAGTGTATGTTTTTGTTGTGCACCTAAATTAAGTGAAATCAAGATGATGCAGGGAATTGAGTCGACCTCAACTGATCTCTTCTTTATTTTAAAAAGGTACATTCAATAGCTTATTTGTTCATTTGACTGTGAAAAGAATCTACTTAATGTTTTAATTCAAGCAATATACACACTTGTTAGTGCTAGAGAAATTTATACTTTATCTATTGCATATCTTTGCCACAGCTACAAATAGGTGTTGGAAACAACCTCTCTACTCTCAAGGTAGGCCTAAACTGTTGTAAGGTCTGGATCTGTTTTATGTTTCTTAGGGACTAAACTGAGGTGTGATGAGGCAAGGGTAACTGTCTTTTTTAGTTTCCTATGTTTTTATTGTAGTTTTGTTTTATTTGGCTTTTGTCTGTGGCTGTGTGCATGTGTGTGCATTTGCACAATATGTTCTAGTGGTGTGTTCATATATGATGAATCATGGCCACATATAACACTCGTCATGCTAGGTGAATCTTTCTATTGGAAAAGTGACAGTTCGCCGAAAATTTGAACTGTTCAAGCCAGGAAATTTGGCTGTGTGAAATGTTGTGACATTAAGAGGATAGCGGGAGGCATTAGTAGGCAAACAAAATATGTAAAAACTATTACTTGAAGAAGATAGTAATAAGATTGAATTACCTATGAATATATGAATTGATTACAATATATGAAAAGAATGCACCATTATATAAGAGTAAAAGTGATAATATGAAGGTGCTAAAAATTTGGTCTAGAGTCAGGCAGTCAGCCAGGATGCTAGAAGGAAGGTGCTGTGTGTGTGCGCAGTGTGTGAATGAGTTGCAAAGAGTGTGTTCTAATACTAATATTTCAACAAGAAGAAAACACCAATACACCATATGAAGTCTGTTTAGTTATAGTGATAAGTTGTTTTACACTTCGGAAGAACTAGATTGAGAATACATTTGAGGTTAGACAGAACATGTAGTTAAAGCATATACATCATGTTTTTAGTGCTATGTTTCGTTACTAGTTAAAAGTCACATTATATTGCAGTGGAGATCAAGATTTTAGTGCCCCTGTAACTGAAGGCTAGGAAACTTGCAAACAAGCTTGTCAAAGAAGAACAGGAGTTAATCACCTTTCAGAAAAATGGGCCATGGTATAATGGGTTGCAGGTATTGCATTTTTCCAGCTAGAACCAGGCCGACAAATATACATGCTTTTGTGGGTTAAATTTGTTATCAAGGAACATATGAATTTAAAATATATACTATCTTAGTCTGGTTCACTCCCCAAAATACTCTAAATTAATGGTATTTAATTTTAGAAGTATAACGTAGTAATGTAATATTATTCTATATTTTAGGTATATTGGGAAGTGATGGAGAGTATAAATATTTTAATCCCATATATTAAGTGAAGAAAAAACGCTGTTGAGTTACAGAGTTTTTTGCATTTGTGTGATTCTTTAGAAATTGATTCCATGGCACAGGTACTCAGCTCCTAATTATTGGGTTCTCAAGCTGGGAAAGGTTATGCACAAAAGATTAAAATTAGATCTAAAATATAAATTTACCATTACAAATTAATTTGTATAGAAAACAGCTCCATCGCTACCTTGAGTATTTATTATTGGGTTCCCAAGCTGTGAAAGGTTTGTTATAAATTCAATGCATAAAAGATAAAATTGAATCTAAAACATAAAAGTACCATTAATATATAGAGAACTCACTGCAACGCCTTTAAGCTTTGACGTGCGGTTTGTTGTATTCAAGCAGTGATGCAGCATGTTGTGGCTCTAGGTGACTTAACAACATTTTTGTTAAGATATTTTTAAAGGTGATTGCTCCCCTTCATTGAAATGGTGAGATAATGGAGTGCAATATATTCTGAGAAATGTTTCTCTCTAATTTTCCCGAGCCAAGTAAAAACCCAAGTTCATTGTTAGAATATAAATAACTGTTCCTGGGCCATAACCATAAGCTTGAGCTTTTGGTTGAATTGGTTCCTTGACATGGTATCAGAGCCTCGTTGACTAAGAGGTCACGAGTTCGAAACTCAGCGCCACCCAGTTTAAAAAAAAGGTTTCACGTGCAAGGCTCGAAAAAGACTCCGCCTGCACGTGAGGGGGCGTGTTAGAATATAAATAACTGTTCCTGGGCCACAACCATAAGCTTGAGCTTGTGGTTGGATTGGTTCCTTGACATGTCAAGGAACCAATTCAACCAAAAGCTCAAACTTATGGTTGTGGCCCAAGAACAGTTATTTATATTCTAACATTCATGTATTCGGGAAATTTCTCGACCCATTTGAGTAGGAACTTCAGATTGTCTTTTGCTAAACAGTGAAAAAGTTATATTTTGTACATCCAAAGTTAAGTTTTACCCCTAGTGTGACTAATGTGGCTGGAAGAAGTCAAACTAGACAAGAATACCGGAATAGTAGTGTTTTGCATCCAAGCGTTAGAAGTAATGTGAGAATATATTTGTCTTTTTTTTATCAGAAAAGAATGCATCTGGTTATTATGCCCAACCCACTCCATTGTTCTATTTTTGTGAATTGTTCTCTGTTATTTGTCCTTGTGTGCTATTCTGCTGTGAGTTAGGGTGTTTGTTCTAACGAGAATGCGATGCCGGTTCTTCCCTCCTTAGTTTTTTAGTTGGAGCCTAGAGTCTGCAAGTTGGAGTCTGGATATATTACAACCTCAGACTATAGCAATTGGAACGATTAAGTGACAGGTACATATTTACATTCAACAATGACCTCTTACAAAATATATGTCTTTACATCTAATGGTTATAGTTTTTTTTAATGTTTAACTAAAGAAAATATGAGATTCCTGCTCAAATGGTTGGAAAATTTCCCAAACACATGAACTTGGATCTTTATTTGGCTGGGGATAGTTATGGAAGTTCACATTTCTCATAATACCTTGTGTTCCTTTATCTTACCATATTTTCAAGTAAAGAGGAGCAATCATTTTTGAAATCACCTCAACAAAAATGCTGCTTATAAATTTGGATGTACGGTAGGTGTAATAGTATATTCCTCATATGTTTATGTATACAAGTTACACAATGTTCGGTTCATATATTTATTTCTTCTTCACACTTTTAGCATGCACTTCATAAAAGTAATGTACTATTCGACATTTGACAATGTTAATTTCAATGCTAATTATTATTTTTTATTTTGTTGCCAAACAAGCAAAAAGTAATAAAACATCCCACGTCGTTAATTTAAGACAATCTCGCTCAACAAAAACACATTGTACATAATAATAATAATAGTAATAATAATAATAATAATAATAATAATAATAATAATAATAATAATAAAAGAGCTCCCTTCTTTTGACAACAAAGACTGTGGTCATGATATGACAACAACTCCAATCGGAGTTAGAGGTGTAAACGGATATTAATTGGATCGGATGTGTCATTATCAAATCTGTATCCGTTTATTTTTGTCGAATATCGAATTCGGATACGGATCTTGACGGATACTGAAAATCAAAACAGTATCCGCATCTGTAGGATATCGGTCGTATGTCGGATATATTTGTATTCGTTTCCAATTTTTAAAATTAAATTAAACAATACTTTTAAATTAGATTAAAGTCAAACTATTATTAAATCAACAATAATTTGTAACGTGAAATTTATTTTCTTTGTTTTCATTATTTATGATATTCTACGATAACTTCAGATGATAAAAAGATATACACATATACACATTTTTATATGTATGCACATATTTTTATGTGTCTACACATTTCTTCTGTATATAAAAATATTTTATACTTTGAAAAATCAATAGAGAAACAAAATATTAACATAAAAAATTAGGAAAAACTATATATAACGGATCGGATATTCGGATGAACGGTTATTAAAACGGATGGATATTTAGATCGGATTTTAAACGAATCGGATATACAATTACCAAATCCGTATCCGTTTAGTAATCGGATACGGATAATGTTCATTTAAAACGGATGCGGATACTTCCTCTTTAAACGGATACGGATGCGGACGGTAATCGGATTTTCGGCTATCCGTTGACAGCCCTAATCGGAGTAACGTACCTATGGTGCGCCTCTGATCGGAAAATTGATAATTGCTACCCATTCTAGCCCTCTCATAAACTCCGCCACCCCGGCCCGGCTTGAACCCACCCCCAGCCGCTTCAATTTTATTCCCCAAATTTATTTGACTTTTGGGTAAAAACATTTGACCCAAAAGTCAAAGTCAAATTAATATTTCCTCCTAGATCAAATGAACCCTAAGCTTTCAAACCCACAAAACACGCTCAAAAATGGAAGCACGTACACTGTGAAATCAGTTGGCGTAATTAAACGCCCTATGAGTGGGAGGTTTGGCTGTTAACATTTTGTATTTTCTTCTTAATTGAAAGAAAAACTCCCAACACTTGTTGACCTTTTTACTCATGTTTCCCCAAAATATTCTTAACAAAACCATTCTTGTTTCCCCCAACGAAGTAAAAGAAAACAGTAGTACATTCTTGACATGTTCTTGGAATAATTTGAAACAGTTGTATTGTTCCTTGACAGACAATTGAAGACCTTCCAACAAATAAATCACTCTGATCCAATCTGTCCACAACATTAACTTCAAAATTCAACAGTGCATTCCCCTCATCTTCTCCATCCCCTACTTTAAATCCAACCAACCATTCTTCTCATTAAGAAAGAAAAGCTAAAGAGCAAGAAAATGAAGCTCCCATTTCCCTTCTTAACCAAAAGGGCAAGGCCTCCATATTGCCCCTTGCATAGATGTGTCAATGGGTGTCCCAAAACCCTTTCGTTCCGGGCCGAAAACGAAACGATCTCCGAGTTAGTAACTTTCACAGAAAATGACCCAACTTGGTCATATCACCATGTTGATGAACACCCATCACCACTATCATCATCGTCGTCGTCGTCGTCTAGTTCAGAGCAATACGAAGATGATCACGTTGAGGATGTGGTTCGCGGGCTGAGGTCTGAGAGGCTAGTCTTCGAACCGGGAGAGGCAAAGTCCTCCAAACTCTTGGAAGAAAGGGTGGAAATGGAGACGATGGTTTCAAGTAACCCTTTTGAGGATTTCAGAAGATCAATGGAGGAGATGGTGGAAGGGCATGAGGGGCTTCATCAAGATTGGGAGTTTCTTGAAGAGCTCTTGGCTTGCTACTTGAGAATCAATGGGAGGGACAACCATGGGTACATAGTTGGAGCTTTTGTTGACTTGTTGGTTCACCTCAACAATGGTGATCATCGTCAATCGGTTAACCGTGGCGCCATTGTTGTTGCTTCTTCCTCGTCGTTTTCGTCTTCGAAAAGGAGTTTGAGTGTCTGTGGTGGCCATCATTGTTTGTTATGTTCTTCTTCTTATTCTTCTACTTCTTCTGCTTCTCCTTTATCCTTTTGTTCCACTTTTCGTCCAAGCACTGCTACTGCTTAACTGCTTTTGCACTGCTAGAGGATGAGGAGTAATTCATAAACAACAATGCATTATCCTTTGTCTCATGTTATTATCAACTATGATTCTCATGTTGTTAACGATATCTTATTTTAATTTATTCTCGTATTTCTAGAAAATTTTGAAGACTAGATTTCTGAAATGATTTTTTTTCTCTTTAATAAACAATTATTATTGTATTTTTATAATTTTTTAAATCCTTTTTAATATGATGTTTTCTCGGTACTCCTTTAATTTGTAAATAAATGTCCCCTAAATGGCTGAAGTAGATAAGATTTTGGTATTTTCCATCATCTAAACTTAAAGTAGGCTCTCGGGAAAAAAAAAACCACTGAAAATAGAAGCAAAACATTGCTCTTATCCCCAAAATATGAGAGACATATTTTTTATTTCTAAAATAAAACTAGTGGAATTTACCTAAATAGTACTAAAACATTAAGACTTTCCCAATGTAGTACCCACTATTTAATGCCCAGTAATCATTGTTCATGTAAATGTCCATCGACACTAGACATTGTTCAAACTAAATGCCTAACATCATTGGACATTGTTGTCGTCGCTAGACATTATTCAAGTATTATTTAGAGAATAAAAAAATTTAAGTACTATATTGGAAAAAGACATATTATATGTTTTCGTACTCTTTTGTCCCATTTTAAATTGCATGTTTTCCTTTTTTCTCCGTTCCAAAATAAGTTGTTTATTTTTTATTATCATAAACTTTTAAAAGTAATATACCTAAATTATCCTTAAAATAAGTCATCCTTCTCCACCTTATCTTCTCATTCATCGTCACCTCTCCTAAAAATTAATGACAATTTCGAAAAGTCAACTATATTTGTTCTCTTCCTTAAATATGTTTCAAAGTCAAAACGGGCGATTTAAAACGGAACGGAGGGAGTACTATTTAGTGCAAATTTCACTATAAACTATTGCATTATATTGGGACAATGTGACACTGTATATTGACATTCTACACTATTTTTGGTATTGTACGTTGGTATTATTAGCATTATAAGTTCTACTTTGGGATAAGAACATAAATGTCCTACTTTGGTTCTTTTCATATATTTTACTCATATTTTAGTATTTCTTCTTTATCAAAGAGATTCTTTCTAATTAAGTGTAACTCAAATTACCCTTACGAGTTATAATTACGGCCCGGTTCCATGGCCACTGGAATCCAGTGGCCACGGAAGCCACTGCCCCTCTACGGAGCTCCGTTCATAAAATTGATAATTCCTACCCCCTCTAACCTCCCGGTAAACCCCCCCGCCAAGTCCCGACCCAAACTAATCACCCCACTTACGTCAATTGCACCTCGTAAGTATAATTGACTTTAAAGTCAAAAGTTTTGACTTTACACTTACGAGGTGCAATTGGCGTAGGTGGGGTGATTAGTTTGGGTCGGAACTTGGCGGGGGGTTTGCCGGGGGGTTGGAGGGGAAAGGAATCATCAATTTTATGAACGGAGCTACGTAGGGGGGCAGTGGCTTCCGTGGCCACTGGATTCCAGTGGCCATGGAACCGAGCCGTTATAATTATAATACACCTTGATGTCCTATGCCTCTTCTTCAACCTCCCAGGTTCACGACAGAGAATTTTAAATGGGGATCATCTCGGCTCCGGTCTTCTACTTCATGTGTGTGTCAAATTTTGACAAAGTTCATGTATGAAATATTGGTAATTTTAGTGTCATTGACTATTTTATGTAATTGGGTTTACTTAGAACGGATGAAAATTTTAATAGACAATGAGTTCGGAGGTGCGGAGTACACACACTCATTTAACGATATTACAAATTTTATAGCGGGGTTACGATGGTGGCAGTCCCCGGTAGCAGCGCCCAAGGAGAATGTGACTTTTGATTCGCAATATTGATATGACCTTAAAAACATCTGGAGAGTTAGGATTGTAATAGTTGGGTAGACACCTTGAGCTTAGAAGCAGTTTTTTGTACGGGTAGTGTACTTTGTATGCCTTGTATGCTTTGTTTATTTTATTCTTTAAACTTTACTTTTTTCTTTAAACTTTAGTGCTTGTAGTTTATCTGTGCTTTCTTTGTTTTATACTTTGCATATCTCTTGTGATTTCATTAGTGTAGCTTGAGCCGAGGTCTCTTGAAAATTGCATCTCGAAAGTAAGGGCAATGTCTGCGTATACACACCTTCCCCAAGTCTTACTTTCGTGGGATCCAACTGGGATATTTTCGTTACAGTATTACCACATACATTTAACAATATTAAAAGAAAAAATTAAAAGAAAAGTAAAACATAAAAATAGAACCAAAATAAGACCATGCTTATGTCCAAAAATTATTGTTAAATATATTAAGTATATATTTAGTATCTTGTGTATATAGTAGTTTCCATACATGTATAGTCCTTATTAATTAAGGATTCTAACATAGTAGGTTTCCTTTTATAACTAGGACTACTCTACTATACAATATCCCTTGTATTCCCACATTATGATCATTGAAATATATCAATTCTTCATGGTATCGGAGCCCTAAAATTTTTCACGGCTCTCTCTCTCTGTTTCGGCTCTCTCTCTCGGCAGCATCTCTCTCTCTCTCTCTCTCTCTGCCGTAGCTCTCTCTCTATCGGCAGCATCTCTCTCTCTCTCTGCCGTAGCTCTCTCTCCCTGCCAACCCTCTCTCTCGGCCATCTCCCCTATATCTCACCATGGCCGAAGTCTCCTCCGACAACACCAACAACACCAAATCTCCTCACCTTGCTTTTACAACAATCTCAAACATTAAACTCCATATCCCCGTTCAACTCAGTATCTCGGAGCCAAACTACAAAAAATGGAGTCGACTCTTTCGTCTCCTTGTTCTTCGATTTAATCTCATGGGATATCTTGACGGCACTATCGTCGCCAAATCGACCAACGATGCTGAGTGGTTCCAATTCGACGCCCTACTTCAAGGATGGATCTTGTCTACCGTCTCCGATGAGGTCTCCGATCTCGTCCTCGCAAACAGCCCTACAGCCGCGGCACTCTAGAAAGCGATCTACAAATTGTTTCATGACAACAAGCACGCCCGGGCGATGCAATTGGAGCACCGGTTTCGCACCACCGTCAAAGGAACCAAGATAATAAATGAGTATTGTCACACTCTCAAGAACCTAGCCGACTATCTCGACGACGTTGATGCTCCGGTGACCGAACACGCCCTCGTCCTGCAAGTGCTTCAAGGATTGCCACATGACATCCGGGGCCAAGTTCACTTCTTGCAGTTTCAGAACCTGTTTCCGTCGTTCCTGGAAGTCCGATCGGCTCTCCTCTTGGTCGAACATCAGCAGGCCGACGCCCTCCCCAACGCCGGACAGTCCACCGCCCTTCTCAGCTTCAGCGCCGGCGGCGGCAGCAACACGGCGGGCGGGGGTCAGTTGCGGCAAGGCAGCAGGGGCAGAACTCCGGGCGTGGCAGTTTCAGCGGATCAAATCGGGGCAATTCTGGTGGCTACCGCGGGCGTGGCCGTGGACGTGGACGAGGCAGCTCGAATCAGCGACAACCTGGCCCAAATACCTGACAGTTCCCCACTCCCTCACCCGGCCTTCTAGGCCCACGTGGCCCATTACCCGAACCAAGCCCAATACACTACCCCGCCACATACCCAGTACCAAACACCCAACCCGTACTACCCAACCCAGTACCCAAACCCGAACCCCCTACCCC